TTTATTTATTTTTATGTGGTGCTGAGGATTAAACCCAGTACCTCGCATGTGCTAGGCGAGCACTCTACCACTGAGCCACAACCCCAGCCCCCAGTAGATATTTTTAAATGAGTAAATGAAAGCCTTCTCTCTTTTTACACTTAGGTATTTGGGGAGACCAAAGAAAGAAAAGACCATTGTTATCAGACCTCCTTTTCTTCGGCCGGAAGTGTCAGATGGGCAGATAACTGTGAAGATCATGGACAATGGCATCCAGGGAGAGCTGAGGAGAACTAAGGTGAGGAGTTTTTGGAAGTAAAACTAGGTAACTTGGGGAAATCTCTCTCATGGCAAAGAGATGGGAACTTGCTTTTGGTTTACATCTTCCTTTTAGAATCACTTACTGATTTGTGTTAAAATCACTTAGATACAAATCTTTTCTTCATTGGACTTTGTGACAATAGAAATTGAACTTGTTCATTTCCCTGTCTTCATAGGATTTCACAGCTTGCAGATGGTAGAAGCTCAGCAAGCAATTGTTGGTTGAAATGAACAAATACATGACAGAATTAAGTTCTTGTTGAACACTTTGTCCAAAACTGTCCCCAAACTGACTCTTATGCTTTGTCTTTCATTCCCATAGAAACATATAATTGACTTTCCAGTACCTCTTATGCAAATTTAATACTTTGAGTTAACCAAATGACCAGTTCTTCAAATCTGATTTTACCTACCATAATTTTCTAGTCTAAGGGTAGCCTGGAGATAACAGAGAGTCAGTCTGCAGATGCAGAACCTCCACCTCCTCCTAAGCCGGACCTGAGCCGTTACACAGGGCTGCGAACACACCTCAGCCTAGCTACTAATGAGGGTAAGTGCTGCCTTGATCTATGAGATCCTAGAACTAGAAGACTAGTATGAGGTTACTTCTGTAAGACACAAAGAAAACAAGTAAAGGCTGGGAGATTCTACTTGTGTTGTGACTAAGAACACCCAACAGGCAATAGTAATAGTGCAGCTTTCTTTGAATAGCTGGAAGAGGAAGGATGCCATTTAGCAAATTGGCAGTGAACTGGATTTTTGTGGGGGAAATGTCAACTTCTAGACAGATCATTGTGTTTCCTAGGACCTGTTTGGTATATTCACCCACCTTGAGTTCTAGACTTTTTTTTTTTCCCCCCAGTACTGGGTTGAACCTAGTGGGTATTATACACTGAACTATATTCCTAGTCCTTCTTAAAAATTTTGAGACAGGATCTAGCTTTGGTTGGCCTTGACTTTGAAATTCTCCTGCCTCAGCCTCCCTCAGTAGGATTGTACAGGTGTGTACCTCCATACCCAACAAGTCTGTGTGTGTGTGTGTGTGTGTGTGTGTATGTGTGTTACTAGGGTTGAACCTAGGGGTGCTTTACCACTGTGCTATGCTCCCAACCCATTTTTAAATTATTTATTTATTTATTTTGTACCTGGGATTGAACTCAGGGGCACTCGACCACTGAGCCCATCCCCCAGCCCTATTTTGTATTTTTTATTTAGAGACAGGGTCTCACTGAGTTGCTTAGCACCTCATCATTGCTGAGGCTGCCTTTGAACACAAGATCCTCCTGTCTCAGCCTCCCTAAATTTTTTATTTTGAGACAAGGTCTTGCTAAGTTGCTTAGGGCATAAGTTGCTGAGGCTACCCTTGAACTTGCAATCCAGGTATTATGGCTCATCCTGAGTAGCATGAGCCATAATACCTGGCTCCAGCGAGTACTTACTCTTGATTTCAGCAAAATTATGTTCCTTAGACTTTTTCTTTTGCTGGGTATATCTGTCTGTTCTTATTTTCTCCTTCCTCCATATTTTAAGGAACCCTAGGAATATTAAGAGAATAGCTTATAAGTGTTTTTCCTGGGCTTTTCTACCTGCAGATAGCAGCCTCTTGGGCAAAGATAGCCCCCCAACACCTACCATGTACAAGTATCGGCCAGGTTACAGTAGCAGCAGCACATCAGCCGCCATGCCTCATTCCTCCAGCGCCAAGGTACTGTGTACTCTAGAAGTGGGGTACTCTAGAAGTGGGGTTGTAATATACACCAACTCTTTGAGGGAAAAAACAAGCTGGTGAGAAGGAAAAGGCAGATGGGAAGAGAAGAAATGGAAGATATTTTATGAATTGTTGGCCTCCTTGATAGTGTGTCCTTTATCAAAGAAGGAGCTACGTGTTATCATATAGCATCGATTATAGTGGTCAGATCTGATTCCAAAACCTAATTCTGCCATCATAAGCAAGTTACTTACTTATACCTTCTCCAAGCCTCATTTTTTGCGTCTTAAAATGGGAGATTATTTATTCCAGTTCATATATCTGAGTTAAGGAGTTAAACCAAATAATGCATGTAGAAGTTCTAAGCATACTACTGGCATATAATTCCATTCTTGACTCTTTTGGCTCTGGGATCTAGTGTTAGTCACAGAGGAGCACTAAGTTTGTTTTACTTTCTTCCTTAGTTAAGTCGTGGGGACAGCTTAAAGGAGCCAAACTCAATTGCAGAAAGCAGTCGCCATCCCAGCTATCGTTCAGAGCCCAGCTTGGAACCAGAGAGTTTCCGTTCTCCCACCTTTGGCAAAAGCTTTCACTTCGATCCCCTATCCAGTGGTTCGCGCTCCTCCAGCCTCAAGTCAGCCCAGGGCACAGGTTTTGAGCTGGGCCAGTTGCAGTCCATTCGTTCAGAAGGCACCACCTCCACCTCCTACAAGAGCCTGGCCAACCAGACACGCAATGGAAGCCTATCTTATGACAGCCTACTCACTCCTTCAGACAGTCCTGATTTCGAGTCAGTGCAGGCAGGGCCTGAGCCAGACCCGCCTTTAGGCTACACCTCTCCCTTCCTGTCAGCCCGGCTGGCCCAGCAACGGGAAGCCGAGAGGCACCCACGTTTGGTGCCAACCGGCCCAACACACCGAGAGCCCTCACCAGTCCGTTATGACAATCTGTCACGCCATATTGTGGCCTCCCTCCAGGAACGAGAGAAGCTGCTGCGCCAGTCACCCCCACTACCAGGCCATGAGGAAGAACCAGGCCTGGGGGACTCAGGCATTCAGTCAACACCAGGCTCAGGCCATGCTCCTCGTACTAGTTCATCCTCAGATGATTCAAAGAGATCACCTTTAGGCAAGACTCCACTGGCACGCCCAGCAGTCCCCCGTTTTGGCAAACCAGATGGGCTAAGGGGCCGGGGGTTAGGATCCCCTGAACCAGGCCCAACTGCCCCATATCTGGGCCGATCCATGTCTTACAGCAGCCAAAAAGCCCCACCTGGTGTCTCTGAGACAGAGGAAGTGGCCTTGCAGCCATTACTGACACCCAAGTAAGTATTTATACCACCCTGAACCTCAGCCAACTTAAAATTAGCATAGCACCATGCATAAGGTATCAGGGCTTTGCCGGTGCATTCTAATATGTGTACCCAAGGGCATCCCTGATAGCTCCTCATTTTTATTCATTCCAGCTGCCTTTGGGTAATTCCTCCCTAAGAAACTGAAGATTAATACTAATGTTGTTTTATAAATTCTGAGTGTCAGTATGTAAGATAGCTGCTATTAGAGTGAATAGGGGATATAGGGAAGCAGCCTATTTTAAACATGGCAATAAAATGAGAGATTATTTGAATAACAAAAATACATAGAGAAAAGTGCATTTGTTTTCCTCTTAACCAAATTTTAAACTGTTTACCTTACCTGTATTTTATGCCCCACTTCCTGACAACTGCTTTTTCTTTCCTTCCAGAGATGAAGTACAGCTCAAGACCGCCTACAGCAAATCCAATGGGCAGCCCAAGAACATAGGCTCATCCTCTTCTGGCCCAGGCCAGCCACCTCTCAGTAGCCCCACAAGGGGAGGAGTCAAGAAGGTGTCAGGGGTGGGTGGTACCACTTATGAGATTTCGGTGTGAGCCTTCGGCAACTCTCCTCCCCCCCGCCTCTGCGCCTACACCAAAGGGCCCCAGGTGGCCACCTTCCTTCCCTCAAGGGGCTCTCCTCCCCTGCATGGACATTTTTTAAACCACTGATTCCAAGGAGATGAGGTGTGTTTTATAAAATGCAGTGGGGTTGGGGAGTTGGAGAGTTGGGGCCCTGAGACTGGGGTAGCAATCCCCTTTTACCTTCTAAGACCTTCCCTTCCTTAATCCCTGGACCAGACTCAGTGGACAATTGTGCAATTGCTCGCCCTGGAGGGAACCAGATCATTTTTAAAACCAGAAATAATTTTTTTTATTATTGTTACGGATTCTATTTTTTTCCTCTTCTGCGTTACCAGGTGTGTGTGTACATATATATATATATATATATATATATATATTATAAATATCAAAGAAATTATATATCTATCCTGGGATGGGAAAATGAGGGAGGGATACACAAAGGAGGGGGGATTCTACTTTTCCCCTTTCCTCAGACCAGCAGGAAAAGAGACATCGAGGTCTTCCTTTTTTCCCATGGTTCCCTCTTGTCCCAGTTACCAACTAAGGAAATAGCACCCCCTGTTGGTGCTGATTAGGAAAGAAACCTGGGGAGAGGTGAGTCTGGGATCTTGGTCAGAACAGACTTGGAGAGAGCTAGCTTTCAATGTTCATTGGCATTTAATTTCCCCAGGAAAGGGGTCAGAGCTCCATGACACTGGTGGTGGTGATGGTGGTGATGGTGGAGGATCAGGAAGAGAACTTGACCTAGCTCAAAAAATAATACTGGATAATCCCCCTTCTTGGGGGAGAGGGATTAGAGTGGCTTCTTCAGTGAGCCCCTCATAACTTCCCCCTAGCTTACATGGTTAACGTGATTTAAAAATCAAAGAAAGGCCAGGAAAGAAAAAAAGCAATATTTTTCATCACATGCCAAAAATGGGATAGAGCAAAGGAGTGGCAGGCCTAGGCCCCTCCGAGTATCCCTCAGGGGTTACCCCTCAGCCCATCTAAGTATGGTGCTGGGTAGAGGGGATACCTGGGTTCTGACCTCTAAATAGGGAAGACCCCAACCTCTACACAGAGGACCTTTTATTTTTTATTCTGATTAGCCATTTTAAACCAACAAGGAATAAAAAGAAATCCTGATCTAACCAGCTCCCACTGACTTGTGTTTTGTCTGGTTAAAGTAGGGTGAATGATCTCTGGTGGAAAGTCATCACAAAGAAAACCTCATCTGCTTCTCTGGTCTCAGCCATCTTTAAGCTGGACATAAAGAAATTTATGTGTAACAGCAGCTCCTGTTTTTATTTGGGTGAAACTTTGCAACCACCAAAACTTCTTGTCATTTCAAAGCTTAGGGAACTCTTGTCACAGTTGTTGTTTGTCTCTGAAAATAAGGTTCCTTTTGGATACAGCCAAATGTAAGACAGTATGAATGCCTGTTAAAAGCAGGCTGACTGGATATGGGTGGCAGGTCAACCAATTAACACATATTGTCTTCTATTTGTCAAAAGCAAAGGATGGTGCCCTAATTTTAAATAATCATCTTCAGACACTAGATTTCAAGAAACAGGCCAGAACCCTATTTTCACTCTCTGTAGCATCAACTCTTTCCTGAAGGGAATTGAATGAGTGGTTTTCTACTCGGAGATCTGGTTCATAGCAACTGATTTCAACTGTTTTATCAGACATTACTTCAGGTCAGTGCTGCACACTGTTATCCTCCCAACTCTGGAGGCTGGAGGATCACAAGTTCAAGGCCAGCCACAGCAATTTAGTAAGACCCTGTCTCAAAAAGGGGGACTGGGTTGTGGCTCAGCAGTAGAGTGCTCGCCTAGCACGTGTGAGGCACTGGGTTCAAGCTTCAGCACCACATAAAAATAAATAAAATAAAGGTATTGTGACTAAATACAATAAAAAAATATTTTAAAAGGGGTGGAGCTGGGGATATGACTCAGTGGTAATGTGCTCCTGGGTTCAATCCCTAGTGCCCACCCCCATCCCCAAAAGAAAACCAAAACCAACCCCCCCTCCCTTTTTGAGGCACTAGGGATTGAACCAGGGCCTCTCGTATCTTATGCAAGTATTCTACCACTGAGGTACATCCCCAACCATTTTTACAGGGTCTCACTGAATTGCCCAGGCTGGCCTCAAAATTGTGATCCTCCTGCCTTCTAAGTAGCTGGGATTCCAGGCATGGTCACTGTGCCTGGCTATTTTACAACCTGATGGCTATTTTAGGCTGCCTTTATTGTTGCTATATTAGAAACTTGGAAGTATTTTCAAAGCAGCCAAATAATTCCAATTCCTAACTAAGGAAAGAAGCAGGTGAAATGATTTTTTAAAAAAGACTAGAAGTGGGCTGAGGTTGTAGATCAGAGGTAGAGCACTCCCCTTGTATGCGTGAGGCACTGGGTTCGATTCTCAGCAGTACATAAAAATAAAATATTGTGTCCACCTATAACTAAAAAGTAAATATAAAAAAAAAAAACAAAAAACAGAAGCATTTGCCTTTCCTCCCAGAGTTCATTTCAAAAAAATCATAGGCTTCTGACTAAAAACCAATCTTGCTGAAATACACTGGTGATTATGGATGCCTTTTTAGTTGGCTAATTTGTTTCAAAATAAAATAGACCTGGAGCACACTGTTGACCCCTAATTGGTTCAACTGTTCAGATGGAGCATGAAGATTTATCCAAGCACTTGGTTTATCCTGTTATGTGTTTGCTATGGAAAAGTATTAGCAAGCACTGCCTCACTTTTTTCCACTGGGGACCATGTTCCTTGTTTCATTTTCATTGTTTCTCTGCTAACGAGATCATGTAATGACAAGACTCAAGTCCCTTCTGATCTTAGCAATGCTTTTTAAACCCTCACTTTCACAGAAAGGCACTTACCTCTTAATAGGCAGCCACATTTCAGTCAGTTTGATAAATGCAAAAAAAAAAAAAATTTTTTTTTTTTTTTTTTTACGAAAAATCCTAACAAACCAAGTCCTGAAATCAGACAAATTGCACAAGAGAGAAAAGAAATAGCTTCCTGGGAGAGGAAGAGATGTCCATGAGAAAGCCAACAGGGCTGAGCCTTACATGCCCTTCTCTCTTCTAATGTATTACTCTTAATAAAGTACAGCAGGAGCTGGTCTCTGTCCACACTGCTGGATGCTCTCAAAGCAGCATCCCAAGAGCCTGGAAGATAGCTTTTGTTAGCAGATTCAGTACTGCAGGAAAAGCCAGAGTCCAGTGATTCTGTTAACGGAGGCTGCTGCTGCTGCTGGCCTGGGAGCTGCCCATACCTGGATGGTCTGGACTATGTCGGTTCTGAGGGAGACAAAGAAGAAGGGGTAAAAACATTTAGGAACTAGCTTGGCCTTGACCAGTGCTATGTAAGAAAAAAACGTCTTGCGTTTTAAATCTTAGGTCAACTTCAAGCAAAGGATAAAATCTTTAGGACAGGGTGAAATATAAGGAAACTCATTGGGCTGTAGCAACAGGCCTCCACCCTACCTTCTTTTTCTTCTTTTCTTTCTTCTTCCTTTTCCTATCAGGATCCTCTTCTTTTTTCTTTTTCTTCTTCTTGTGATCCGAATCAGAAGGTGTTTCTGTAAGGTGACATTAGATGCTTATCACCTCTAGAGCTCAAAATCCTCTACTGCTATGAACTCTGAAGGCTACAGCAAAACCTCAAGTCAGGGGCAAATGCTTTTTTCTAAATGGCCAGGAAGAACAAAGTGCTGCTAAAGACCCTCTCCCAAGTCAATGCTTGCCCAAGAGACCCCAGAATATCAGTCATCATCTTCAGGAGAATTAAGAGTCCACACTCTTGTAGGGAACTAACTGGTATTAACTGGAAGGCCAAACCAGATTGAGAAGGTCACATTTTCTTGCTTTTGAACAGAATTGCTTCTTACCTGGGGGGACAGGATCCTGGGTACGGCTCTGTTTGTGTTTGTGTTTATTCTTCTTCTTGGGAGGCTGAATGTGCATCAGACGACACTGCTCGGGCAACTGAAAGAACCAAAGGAAGGGCCAGATGACTAAGAGGAAATGCCCTGCTCCCATCATCTGTTCGCTTAGTAAATTATGAAGGAACAGACTTGAACAAAAAGCCACCTCCATGCCTCTTAGGTCTCATCATCATTTGCCTTTCTCCTCCCCAAGAGAGGACTCACCGGACCAGTATGGAGGCGGAAGCCAGAGAGCATGGTCCCTGTGATAGGATTAAAAGAGCCACCAAGAATAGGTGGCTTCTCAATGAGGGAACGGAGGCTGCTGTTATCATGGGAACCAGGCAGATCAATCATCCCTGGCAAGTCAGGCAGGAAATTACTTAGCTTCTCCTTCACCTTCTTTCCACAGAATTTATTATAGTCATGTTCCAAGTTGTAATGTGTGATCAGATTGGTGCTGCCTGTCAGCTCTGTACTACCTAGACGACAACAGAATAATAAAAGATTAGTAATAAAAACAGATTTTTTTTGTCATTGACCTAGAGGGAAATCGAAGGATTATATTTTAACCTAGATAAGGAATCCTAAATGAGAATTACAAAAATTTAAACTGATTTATAAAGCCAGAAACAAAGCAAAAGTAAATTACAGGTTGACCACCCTGAGTCCAAAAACCTGAAATCTGAAATGGCTGGGAAATTGGAAACTTTTTGAACTCTATCATAAGACTTTTTGTTTCAGATTTTGAAGCATTTCAATTTCAGATTTTTGGGTTACAGAGCTCAACTGATAAAATCTAGACATTCCAAAATCTGAAAACCTATGAAATCTGAGACACTTCTGGTCCCAAGCATTCTGAATAAGGGGCAGTCAATCTATAATATATAATAAGCACTAAAGACATAGTTGGGCATAGTGGTGTATGCTTGTAATCCTGGCTACTTGGGAAGTGGAGACAAAAGTATCAAGTTTGAGGATAGCCTCAGTAACTTAGACTTGTCTCAAAAAATAAGAAGGAATGGGGATATATTTCAGTGGTAGTGTGCAGAATTTAATCACCAGTACCTGCCCCTCCCCAACACACACAAATAATAATAGTACAGAATGGTAGGAGTAGAAGTGAAAAAAGGGTAAAAATCTAAGCAGGGCATATTGCTCTAGCCCAATGAAGGAGACACTCCTTGAACTAATCTGAACAATAATTCACATGACACTTATGTTTTTATAAGTGCTTTTCATAAAATTTACCAGTGAGACCCAGGTGCAGTGGTGCAGGCCTGTAACCCTAGCAGCTTGGGAGGCTGAGGCAAGAGGACCACGAGTTCAAAGCCAGCCTCAGCAACTTAGTGAGGCCCTAAGCAACTCACTAAATTATACACCCAGTCCTTTATTTTTATTTTGGGACAGGCCTTGCTAAGTTGCTGAGGGCCTCACTAATGCTGAGGCTGACCTCAAACTTGTGAGCCGTCTACCTCTGCCTCCTGAACCACTGCCACCACATCCAGTTTTTTTTTTTAATAGCAAAAAATATGAATCGCCTTCACATTAAAAAAAAAAAAAAGATTTTGTGGCTGGGGTTGTGGCTCAGTGGTAGAGTGCTCACCTAGCATGTTTGAGGCGCTGGGTTCAATCCTCAGCACCACATAAACAAACAAATAAATGAAATAAAGGTGTTGTGTTCAACTACAACTAAAAGAAAAAAAGAAAATTAAAAAAAATATTTTTCCCCCTAGTTATGAGTACCTAACATTTCTACTCTTTTGTTTTGTTTTGTTTTCTTTTTTAACCTAGATAAGGAATCCTAAATGAGAATTACAAAAATTTAAACTGGTTTATAAAGCAAGAAACAAAAGTAAATTACAGGTTAAATTAAAGATTCAATTAAAGATTGAATCCAGGGGTGCTTTACCACTGAGCTGCACCTCCACTCCTTTTTATTTGAGACAGGGTCTCACTAAATTGCTGAGGCGGGCCTCAAACTTGTGATTCTGCTTCAGCTCCTGTGTTGCTGGGATTACAAGCATACATCACTGTGCACATCTCTACTTGTAAAGATGTTACTGTTACCAGTATCTTTATTCTTCCTCATGCCAAGTATTAATATTTCACTTAGAAGACAGAATTTTTTTTTTTTTTTTTTCGGTTCTGGGATTGAATCCACTGGTATTAACCACTGGGCCACATCCCTAGCCTGTTTCTGTATTTTAGAGACAGGGTTTCGCTGAGTTGCTAAGTGCCTTGCTAAGTTACTGAAGGTGGCTTCTAACTTGTGATCCTCCTGCCTCAGCCTTCTGAGCCACAGGGATTACAGGTGTGTGCCACCGCGCCTGGCTGACAGTAATGTTTGGTTACAAGTGGACAACTAGAATCCTAATTCTGACTGTCTTCCATACCACAGTCCCTCAAATGAAAACATTGAAAAGTTTAAAAATACATGGAAGGCATTATCAATATAAATACTATATTGCTGATTTTTTTCAAAGAATATAAACTTACTAGAACTTGATGAAGACTGAGTAGCAAGGGCAGAAACATCTAACCTATAACTTCATCTGTAATTATGATGGTCACATGGATACAAATGACAAGTGGCTTGTTTATAATCATTCACTTGGGGGAAACTCAGGTTCTGACTGACTATGAGCCCCCTGAAGACAGAAAGTGTCTTGTTTATTCATGCATTGCTAATGCCCAGCATGGTGCACACGTTAACTACTCAATAAATATTAAATGAACAAGGTGCTTTTACTCTATGTGTTTGGGTCTTACTCCATACTTTTCCTTCTTGTTATTGCCAAAAATCTCAGAAGAATGGTCTAATTATAATGGCAAGAGACTTAGTGTCATGGTAAACGTCCTCTAACTCTGGGCACTACCTCCTGCCATTACTGTCTCCTGATTTTTTGCCCTGACAGCTCTCCTCCTTCCAGATGGTTTTACTTAAGGCTCAAGGTGAGAAGGCACTCACTTTTTCTAAACTTATTTAATAAGAGTTCAACTTTCTGTTTTTACTATTAGTTCTAAGAAGATAATTTATAAATTTTTATCCCCGGCCCTGACTCACTCAAAAACAAAATCTTGCTCTTCCATCACTTTTTTAGTCAACTCTATGCAGGTTTGATGTTTTTTTCCTTAAAGTTCCAAATATTGCCCACATCACCCATGGCTTCTCTATTTTATGGGTCACTTCTCTTTCACTCATGGGTTCCATCCCCAGTACAAAAAGAAAGGGTAGGGGGGACAAGAGAATAAAGAAACTGGTAGACACCAATTACCAATCAAAGAATAGTCAACTTTTTTTTTTTTGTACCAGGGATTGAACTTGGGGGCACTCGACTACTAAGTCACATCCCCAGCCCTATTTTGTATTTTTATTTAGAGACAGGGTCTCACTGAGTTGCTTAGCACCCCACCATTGCTGAGGCTGGCTTTGAACTCATGATCCTCATGTCTCAGCCTCCAAGCTGCTGGGATTAAAGGCATGTGCCACTGCATCGGGCTGATAGTCAAACTTCTTTTTTTTTTTTTTAGTCAAACTTCTTTACACTTCAGTTTTTTAAACTAGAAATGCAGATAAATAATGCATACTTCAAAGGGCAATTCTAAGTATTAAACAGCATTACATATGGGTGTCTCCCAAGTCATGATATGGCAATAAGACTTGGAATGAACTGAAAGGCATCCTGGAGACTTAACATGTCCAAAATAACTTGTGATTTCTACCATCTAAAACTTATTCTTTCTTCATATTCCAGTCTCAGACTACCATCCACCCCATTCCTCAAGTCAAAATCTTAAATTATCAATTCCTCCCTTTGCTTCACTTCTATACGCGATTCTTCATTCTTTTCAGCTCTACCTCTAACATGTATCCATTCACTTTTCCTGAACTACTGAACGGTAGCTTCTGACTGATTAACCCAGTTTTTGTTGTTCATGGAGCTGTTTGGGTAATTAAAAATAAATGATCAGGCTGGGGATGTGGCTCAGGGGGTAGCGCGCTCGCCTGGCATGCGTGCGGCCCGGGTTCGATCCTCAGCACCACATACAAAGATGTTGTATCCGCTGAAAACTAAAAAGATAAACATTAAAGAAATTCTCTTTAAAAAAAATAAAAAATAAAATAAAATAAATGATCATGTCACCCCATGTTGGCTTCTCTTATAACTTAAAATCTAAATGCATTCTAAAGGCCTCTGCCCAGCTTTCCCTCTTCACCCTTTACTGCTCCTGCCCTTGTTCACTTCACTGGCGTCCAGTGGGTCTTCTGTCCCTCAGAGATTCCAAGCATTTTCTTACATGAGGACTAGCTTACCTAATTTTGTGTATACCTAGAAGTATCTCTCCTTCCGTCCATAGTAGCAGGATCTTTGTCTATGCTCAATTTTAGCTCAAACGCTATCTACTCAGAGAGAATGCTATGGTCATTTCAGCTAAAATAGTTCTGCCCTCAATTATTTATGTCTGTTCCTCATACTATTAATTACTATCTTGTTATGCCAGGCGAGCGCGCTACCGCTTGAGCCACATCCCCAGCCCGATCATTTATTTTTAATTACCCAAACAGCTCCATGAACAACAAAAATTGGGTTAATCAGTCAGAAGCTACCGTTCACTAGTTCAGGAAAAGTGAATGGATACAGGATACATGTTTATATTTCACCTCTTTTGCTGACATGTAATCTTCAAAAAGGCAAGGATCTTATCAATCTTGTTCACACTGTATCTCCAGTGTTTAGAATAGTGCTTGATAAATAGTGCTTAACAAAATAATTTTTGTATTCTTGTGGTACTGTCACTTGAATCTAGAACCTTATGGATGCTAGGCAAGTGCTCTCTCACTTAGCCATATCCCCAGTCCCCCAAATAAGTTTTTTTTAAAAAATATTTATTTTTTAGGTGTAGATGGACACAACATAATGTCTTTATTTTTATGTGGTGCTGGGGATCGAACCCGGGTCTCGCCCATGCTAGGCGAGTGCTCTACCACTGAGCCACAATCCCAGCCCCCCAAATAAGTTTTTGAAATGGAAGAATTTGGTTCAGTTCTAATACCCTCTTTTAGTAGATGGATTGTTGAACTTCTGGGAAGGCAGGCAACTTGCTTCAAACAAAATTTGTGTCCCACATAAACTAAAACCTTAGGTCCCCAGAGAAGTTAAATCTGGCTTCTAAAGTTCCAACTTTTTTTTTCCTAGACCGCCACAAGTCAGTGACAGAGCCTGGCTTTAGCACGAAAAATAATGCAGAGATACATGGCCACTCGCCCCCAATCAATCCCATAAATTCAAGCCATTCCTTTGTGAATCCTAACAGCCTTTCCGACTTTGAGCTGCACATCCGGGCCACGCGTTGCCTAGGTTACTTCGCACTGCAGAGAAACATAGCCACGCCCATTACCTCCTATGTATGATCTGATTGGCTGACTTCGGCCAGGCCTAGTACTCACCTGGCAGTTCCCTCATTAGGTAAAAGGGGCCACAACCAGCCGCTGACTTGTCTGCACCCGAAGGGGCAGTGGCCGCGGATGAAGGCGGGACCGTGCCGGGTCCCCCGCCCGGAGGAGGTGGAGGTGGAGGTGGAGGTTTTCCTGGTCCGAAGCCGAGTGCAGTTGGAGGCGGTGGTGGGTCAGCTTGAGCTCCGAATAGCGCCGTGAAATTCTCCATCGTCCCCACGGCCGCGGCGCTGCCTTGGTGTCTGTGGCGTTAGTGATATTCATTGGACAATCCTTTCACCGGGTACCGCCCTCTTCCTTTAGGAGCCTCCTATCATTGGATATTGCAAACCACGCCCACCTCATTCCGGCAACTACTTCCGTCGCTCTACGAAAACGTTCAGGAAGTGCTGTCTAACTTTCTTAAATTCTTCTCTGATACCTCGACTCACCACAGTCGCATACCAATAAGATGACCTAGATAAAAAAACGACAGCTGTATTGGCCAATAAAGTATGAATCCTCTTTTCAGGTCTGACCTGCCTCAACATCCAATCAGAGATCTACTTCCGGGCCCAGAGGCGGTGCACCTTGAGACTTGGTCCAATAGAAGTCTCAGTGGTGGGGAGGCTCAACTACAGACGGGTGAGAGCTCCGGGTGCAGCAAGGGCCGGAAAGATGGCGGTCCTGGCACCTTTATTTGCTCTCTTGTATTCGGTGCCGAGGCTTTCACGATGGCTGGCTCGACCTTACTGCCTGCTGTCTGCTCTGCTGTCTGCCGCCTTCCTACTTGTGAGAAAACTGCCGCCGCTCTGTCACGGTTTGCCCACCCAACGCGAAGACGGTAATCCGTGTGATTTTGACTGGGTGAGCGCCCCCTGTCTCAGTAGCGTACGACCTTGACTGTCCATGCCCTGCCAGGTGCACCTGGGAGCCTCGGGGTTCACCTTTCTGAGAACGCTTGAGTGTTTGAGCCTGTAGCTGGCTTATAGACCGAGGAGTGTAGATCCCGGGTCGTCATCGAGTCTCAGCCTGTGTGTTTAAGATGGGGAAATGGGGCCAGCTAGTTATAGCCCCTGCACAACAGCAGCCCAGTATTCTCTCACACTTGCATGTATGCTTAGCGTTGTACCATTCATCTAGTCAACAGCCTTACCCAAACTCTACACATGTGTAGCTTTTTACAGTGCTGCTTGTTGTGTAAAGCCCTCCGAGGAGCCAGTAGTACAAGGCGAGCAGTAGTATTTCCGTTTTTTAAAATTTTATTTTTGCGGTCCTGGAGATGGAATCCAGGGCCTCTTGCATACCAGAAAGTGCCATACCACTGAGCGGCATCCCAGTCCTCCATTGATCTCATCATGGTTAGGCGACTTCTCAAGGTCACACAACTGCTGATATCCTGAGAAACTACTCTGATGGTCACAGTACTGCACACTTGATAAGCCATTTCTAAATTCGATAAACTTTTGCAGAGTGAACACTCTGTGTTAAGCACTGTGCACGATCCCAAGGATGCAAAATTGAAAAGAATTTGGGTTGGGGATATATCTCAGTAGGTAGAATGCTTGCCTTGCATGCACAAGGCCCTGGATTCAATCCCCAGCACCGCATGCACACACACAAAATTGAAAAGGATTTGAGATCTATTGTGAAGAAATCTATTCTAAGCCCCTTGCTGTGCTTTCTAGGTAGGAGTGGAGGCACCTCTTTAAAAAAATGTGAGCCAGGGGCTGGGGATGTGGCTCAAGCGGTAGCCCGCTCTCCTGGCATGCGTGCGGCCAGGGTTCGCTCCTCAGCACCACATACAAACAAAGATGCTGTGTTCACCGAAAAATAAAAAATAAATATTAAAAAAACTCTCTCTCTAAAAAAAAAAATGTGAGCCAGGCTCCTGTGGCCCACCCTGTAATCCCAGCTGCTCAGAAGGCTGAGACAGGAGGATTGCGAGTTCAAAGCCAGCCTCAGCAAAAGCGAGTCTCAAAGAAACTCAGTGAGACCTTGTCTCGAAATAAAATACAAAATAGGGCTGGGAATGTGGCTCAGTTGAAGCTGTATCTCATGCTGAAGAGCTGTACCTGTAGAATTTCTGTCTTTTTTTTCCCCCAGCTCCAAAAGTGAATCTTGACTTTCACCAGATTTTCTTTCTCCCTCCCTTGTTTATTCTTCCTGTTTTTCTTGACAGAATTATTGGTTAGAATGTAGCCATGTGATTTCAAAAGATCCTTTTTAAAATATGTTTTATGTACATTAAAGATATTGGGTTTCAATAAGCTCAAAAGGGTATATGGATAGCAATAAGGATTTTAATAAATGTAGGAGACCTTTTTTAAAAAAATATATTTTTTAGTTGTAGATGGACAGAATACCTGTATTTATTCATTTTTTTTTTTTAGAGAGAGAATTTTTAATATTTATTTTTTAGTTTTCGGCGGACACAACATCTTTGTTTGTATGTGGTGCTGAGGATCGAACCTGGGCCGCACGCATGTCAGGCGAGTGCGCTACTGCTTGAGCCACATCCCCAGCCCTATTTATTAATTTTTATATGGTGCTGAGGACCCAGTGCTTCACAGGTGCTAGGCAAGTGCTATAAAACTGAGCTACAATGCCAACCCCTGTAGGAGACCTTTTATCAAAATTTATTTCTCTGTATATTGTCTGATATGCAAAATACTGGAAATCTTAATACTCTTTTTTTCTTTTTCTTTCCTCTCCCAGGACTGACTGTAGCTTTTGGAGCCAAAGAACCTGAGGTTTTTTTTTAAGAGAGAGAGAGAGAATTTTAATATTTATTTTTTAGTTCTCGGTGGACATAACATCTTTGTTTGTATGTGGTGCTGAGGATCAAACCCGGGCCGTACACATGCCAGGAGAGCGCGCTACCCCCTGAGCCACATCCCCAGCCCCATCTTATTACTCTTGATAGCCAGTTTTTGTTTTCATGGAAGAGTCCTAGTTTACTAATTCAACTTGGTGATTGGGAAGTTAGGAAATAAGGTAAACTCCAAAGTTTTAGTTGTTTAACATATTTAAAATATTTCTATTTTATTAAACAAAAGGGAAAAATAAAAATCAAGCCTTTATATTTATTTTTTCTGTATATACTTACTGTCTTTCATGGTAATCAAAAGATTTGATAAAGGAATAATGATTTCTTTTTCTTTCTTTTTTTTTTTTTTGGTGCTGAATGTCGAACCCAGGGCCTTGCCCAGGCACTCTACTACTGAACCATACCCTCAGCCCCATGTTCATTTCTTAATAGAAGAATTTGAGCTAATAAGTACAGAGGAATGACAGAATTTAAAAGTCATTATTAAGGCCTTTAATGAAATCAGAGATCTTAATGATCATTTGTGGATGCTGAAACCATCAGATGAAAGGTTAATGTGTCTCTTGGAGTGCTGTAGGAGGAAGACTACCTAGCACCACTTATGGTGTATATTTTTGCCAAAAGATTTAAATTTCATTGAATTCAAATCTCTAAAGCTCATTACCACTTTACAATAAATATGGGAAATATAAGGTCATCATTAAAACATACTATGAATATCAAGCTGCCAAATCTAGAAAACTGGGCAAGTCAACAGTACAAATGACTCATTATCTCCAGTTCATCCTGGGTGTGGTGGCACATGTCTAATCCCACCAACTGAAGAGGCTGAGACTGGAGGATTTCAAGTTTGAGGTCAGCCTGGGCAAACTTAGTGAAACCCTGTCTCAAAATTAAAAGGGTTAGGGATGTACCTCAATGGTAGAGCACCCCTGGGTTCAATCCCCAGTATGGAGAAGAAAAAAATTTTTTTTCAATGGATATATAGCCTGAGATTAAAAAAAAAAAAGGAAGAGCTGGTATCCACTAAAAATTAAAGAAAATGGTGCTGGGGATATAGCTCAGTTGGTAGAATGTTTGCCTTGCATGTACAGTCCCTGTGTTCAATCCCCAGCACCTGCCCCCCCCAAAAAAAAAAATTTAAAGAAGCCCGGCAAGAGTGGTGCATACCTGTAATCCCAGCAGTTTGGGAGGCTAAGGTTTGCAACTAAGCATGGTTTCAGGAATCCCACTGAGGGTTATTAGAATGTTTCCCCTGTGAATAAAGGGGGACTACACACAATAACATTTTTACACACAATAACATTTTGAAACAGGATCATTTGAATAAAGACAATTGGGAATTATTGTGTTGGGTATGTATGTGATATATGAAAAACAAAACTCAGCTTTTACTACTATACTCTAGCAATGCAGAACTTTTTTTGTTTGTTTGTTTAAGTCCTGGGGATCAAACCCAGGGCCTTATGTATGCTGGGAAAGCACTCTACCACTATATCTCTAGCCCCACAGGATATTTCTTTGATTTCTGGTTTAGGAAATAAATATTATTTGGGGATTTCTTCTTATTAACAACCAATCATTTTTTTCTTTTTAAAATATTTTTAGTTGTAAATAAACATGATATCTTTACTTTTTAAGTGGTGCTAAGACTTGAACCCAGTGCTTCACATGTGCTAGGCAAGTGCTCTACCACTGAGCCCCAGCCCATAACCAATCATTTCTGTAGCAGATATCAGCTGGATGTCTTCTAATTCAATTTTATTCTGATACCATCTACGTGGATTTAGAGTCAGATCCCCACAGGTTGAGGGCTTTGTCCTATAAGACTACCTCTATTTCAGATGCCATTAAGAAGCAATAGGGGACTGGGTTCCTAGTGCAGTGGTAGAGTGCTTGCCTATTGTATGTGAGGCACTGGATTTGATTCTCAGCATCACATATAAATAAATAAAATAAAGATCCATTGACAACTAAAAAATATTAAAAACAAAACAAAACCACAAGCAATAGGTTGTCACCTATACTTTTGACTAATAGCTATAAAAAGGGGTTCCCAGTATGCACTTTTTAGATTTAACTAATTTGCTAGAGCTCACAGGGAAACATTTTACTTATATTTACTGGCATATTAATAAAGGATACAGAGGTGTAGATGTAGAGATGCATAGGGTGTGGTTTTTTGAGAAGGCATAAGCAGCTTCCTTAAGGAACCTCATGTGTTTAGCCCTCTAGAAGCTCCCCCATTTTTCCAGTTTTTATGGAAGCCTTACAATGTAGGTAATGATTGGTTAAATATTGGGCATTGGTGATCAACTTCAGCCCCTTTCTGGAGGTTAGAGGGTAAGACTGAAAGTTCCAACATTAATCATGGCTTGGTCTTTCTTGTGACCAGCCTCTGTTCTCATTAGCACATAAGTTATTTAGCCTTCCATCACTATGAGATAATCATAAAGAA